AAAATTGGTACCCCGTTTTTTATGTGTTTAGGTACAGTGAAAATTTGCTTCAGGAATATACTGATTCTCAAATGATGACAGAACGAGCCATTACTGTAATTGGTTCCACTTGCTTATGAAGTAGTACTATTTTTAAACTTACGAAGTAGTACTTTTAAAAGTATATTTTTCCTAAATAGGCCAAAATAGTAAGATTTTACTTGTTATACATAGCTCAGCCTTAAAGAGAGATTTTTGAAGCGTCCTGTAAATATTTTGATTATACCATGAAGTTTTCTACACCCTTTTTGTAGGAACTCTTTTTCAGAGCACATATTTGATTGTTGATAGCATTACTTACCTGATGTTTACAGTTCATCGTTTATGTTTTACAGAATTAATAAGATGTACTAGTTAAATCATCTTTAATTATACTGAATGTTGTATTGTAATTAATCATTGCTGGTTTGCACTTATTTTAAATGAAACAATACAGATAATTTCTAAACATGGCTACTTTATTTTTTTAAAAAAATACATTTTTGTTGATTTCGGAGAGAGAAAGGGAGAGGGAGAGAGAGATAGAAACATCGATGATGAGAGAGTCATTGAAAGGCTGCCTGCTGCATAGCCCCCACTGGTGGTCAAGCTGGCAACCCTGGCATGTGCCCTGACCAGAAATCGAACCGTGATCTCCTAGGACCATAGGTCGATGCTCAAAGGCTGAGCCACGCCCAGCTGGGCTATGGCTACTTTAAAATTCGAAACACTTTACATAATACATTAGCTTAGAAAGTCAAGGTAATTTATGATGTAAAGGTTCGAGAAAAATGGAAGCCTGTAAAGAAAATTTGAAGAGAGTTTTGAGTAGTATATTGGATGGGCCTTACCAAAAAATAATCGCAAATTTAGACTTTATTTGAATAGTCTCTCTCGTTTGTATTTTATAAATGAAACGAGCTGAGCACAATGCAATGTACCTGGGATTTAGTAGCACCTAGCAGTAAGATCTTGGTTTCTGAAACCTTCCCACTGAAAGGAACCAGGGCTCCTGAAGTGGCTGATTCCAAGTCTGGGAGCCTAGAACATCTTGTTATGCCAGAAAATAAGGAAGTGCTCAGTGAAACTGATGGCTGCCTATCACCAGGAGATGGGAACATTTTTCTTTCTTTTTTAAAAAAATATATCTTTATTGATTTCAGAGGGAGGAAGGGGAGGGAGGAAGAGAGAGAGAGAGGAACCTGCATGCTGCTGACTGGGGATTGAGCCCGTAACCTGGGCATGTGCCCTGACCGGGAATCAAACCTCAATTTCCTGGATCTTAGATCGATGCTCAACCACTGAGCCACGCCTGGCCAAGCAGGAACATTTTGAAGAGGCTCCCACTGGCCAAATCTGGGATAATTTGGAAATTATCCCACATATCATTAGGAAAAAAATAGGAATCTGTTAAACCTCACAAGTAATATATGGGAGAACAAAGGGCTCAAGAGCCAGAGGAAAGCTGGATTTGGAAAGTCACAGTTTTATCACCATCATATAGTTCACTTCAGCCAAGACTCACAAGTGGATTTTTAAAAAATATTTTCATTGATTTTTAGAGAGAGACAATGGGAGAGGGAGAGAGAGAAACATCCATGTAATAGCGAAGCAGCAATTGGCTGCCTCCTACACTCCCTCCACCGGGGATCAAGCCTGCAACCCAGGCATGTGCCCAGACTGGGAATTCGAACTGACAACCCTTCATAGAATGACGCCTAACTAACTGAGCCACTTTGGCCAGGGCTCACAAATGAGTCTTAAATCTAGGGGAGAAATGTTGATGAACAGCAGGGTATTTGCATGGTCTTAAAGTATCTGTCCAAAGGTTGCCTCTTGGTTGTAGGGAAAAGGTATTAAACAGTAGGAAAATTAGACATCATTTGATCTTGGTAATGAAAATTAACATCACCCAGTTAGGGACAGGTTGAATACCATGTGCCTCTGGATGTGATACTCTGAGAAGAACATATCACTTACGTACTATCCTGGCCATAAATGCACCACCTGCATCTAATCCTGAGGAAACATCAGACAAGTTCAAAATGATGAGCATTCTATTAAAAAAAATATTTTTCAAAAATGTTAATGTTACAGAAGTCAAAGAAAGGCTGAAAGGCTTTATTAAAGAAGACTAAAGGTGCAGGACATAGATTCGCCTAAGACTGGGTCCTGCATCTGGAGAAAATTAGAAGTGTTTTTCCTTCTTTTTTTTAAAGGCATTATTGGGTCAATTGACAACATTATTTTGATCTTAGGTTAAAGTATTGTATTGATATTATATTTACTGAATTGTAGCTGTATTGTGATTGTATTATTGAAGGTTATTTTAGGAAATGCATGCTGAAGTATTTATGGGGAAAGGGCTGTGATGTGTTCAACTTACTCTCAAATGTCTCAGAAAAAAGCACTTTGCATATATGTGGGGGGGTGTATACATAAATATGTACATATACATAGAAAGAGAAGAGAAGGAGGAGTGATAAAGCAAATGAGGCAGAATGCTGACAGAAAAAGATCTGGGTAAAGTTATATGGATGTTTTTTGTTGTAATTTTTCTCTAAGTTTGAAATATTTCCAAGTAAGTTTATACAAATGCATGCACTCATTGGGACTCATCTCTTATTACTCTAGTTGCTAATTTACCTTTAATATTTAATTGGTTTAAGCTATTAACATTCATTGCTTACAGACCTACACATTGATTTTTAATTTCTTTTAAATAGTGCTGGGCCTAAAGGAGATAACATTTATGAATGGAGATCGACTATACTTGGTCCACCAGGTTCTGTATATGAAGGTGGTGTGTTTTTTCTGGATATCACATTTTCATCCGATTATCCATTTAAGCCACCAAAGGTAAGAACCTAGAAGTACATTCTTTAATATTTATCCTTCCCCTCCTAAATCAGTTTATTTTAGAGGTTAAATGTGTATTGATGTAACCATTTTAACTTCATTGTTTTTCATGGATTGGTACGGAAACTCTCAAGTACTAAGAACTTTAAAACTGTGAAAGTAATTGATTAATGCCTTTTACAAATAACTTCTTAATCAGCAGAGCGTTTGTTGATTATAAATAAAAGTATATCACTCTGCACATCAGAAAAGCAGACAGAGTTTTTATTTTTGATATGAAGGAAAATATCCTATGAACTTTAGACGCATACTGGGATTAAAAAGTAAGCCTGTTTGACAGCTTCTAGAAATAAGGGTTAAATAACTTGAATTTTGTGCTAAATACCTTATCTTTATAGGTGAGCAAAAACTAGAAAACTATGGCAAAGAAGAGGGAAGCTAAGACTATTTAGTAAACTTATTTTGTGCTCTTTGTAGGTAGCATGTAGTAATGGGAACGGAGGTGGCTGGGTGACCTAATGCCTCCTTGTTGTCTCTGAATATGAGTTAGATGATAAGAGAGAAGGGTTGAGTTGTGCCGTGTAATGACTGGCAGTTATTTTTCAAGTCTTAAATATAACCGTTACGTAAATTGATTTCTCCTCTCACTTCTCATTATAAAATGGTCAGGCCAGTGGGTAAAAACCACCAATATTAAGCCTGAGCATAATTATTCTTTAGTTACAGAGATTTCTGACATGTTAGGGAAAAGTGTATTATCATGCCCTTAACTATGATGAAATGCTTTTCCTTTAACATAGTTCCTTCTGTTTCCAATACTGTGTCAAATATATGCAGCAATTTAATGCCTGCAAAAAAAGAAAGAAGAAAAAAAACCCAGACAGTATATTATCTAATCAGGTAACAACATTTCCACCTAGTGGTATTTACCTCAAATTGCAGATAACAAGGTTCCCTAGCACCTAGAGGTATTGGCTCTTGAATATAACTGTCAGGTTTTTTAGTACTTTATTCTTTGGTCCCATCACAGTTTAAGGTATTTAAATGATTGTCTTAATGCTTCCTGGTATATAGAGTACGTCTTGCTAGATCATTCAAATAAAGGGATAAAACCCTCATGTTAATAATAACACACATTGTATTCACTTTAAAAATGACATGTTAAATGGCAGTATATCACTAACTGCTCAATTTGCGTTCAGTGGTTTTCTGTATTATAGAAAATAAATAAAACTTTAGCAAAATAGCTCATGATGTATAAGTAGCGATATTTGTGTTTACTTGCCTCATTTTTTATATTGGAAAAGTGATTTTAGCACGATAGCAAAATTAGCAGAAAAAAATTTGCAAGGTCTGTATTTTACAAAGTAATCTTTTTATGGGAGGGAAAATTTGTTTAAAAAAAAAACTTCTTAGCATCTTTAATGAAAAGTAGAAATTGACTAAAATAAGGGTTTCAAACTATAGTTTTCTATATATGATTTATCATAATTGTTTTGGTTAATATGTGTTTTCTTAATTTAGCACAATATTTCTGCTGGTCTAATTTTAATTTTCTAGCCCTTTGATGTTGATTAATTCCTTTTGCCTAAGGTATAATATACAGTATTATGAAGCATTGTGCAGATCTATAGTTGGACAAATGAAAAAGAAATGAGACTTCTGCTGTTATCTTAGTGTTGGGTACAGTTATTTCTCTACAGTACTGCTTCTTTTTGAAGTTCAGATAAGGTGTTGAAGAACAATAAAAATTTAATTTTCTTTTGTTCACTCATTGTTAATAGCTAAACAGATTCAAAATACTCATTGTATTGTGTTTGTAAACCTTACATACAGTTAGCTGTCAATAATATGAACATGCATTATTCCTGTATTCTATAGAAGAGCTGTCTGATAGAAATACAGTGCAAGCTACACATGTATTTTAAATTTTCCAGTAGCTACATTAAAAGAATAGAAACAGTGAATTAATTTTAATAATATATTTTATTTAACCCAGTATATCCAAAATATTGTCATTGCAACATGAAACCAGTGTAAGAGTATTATTAACGGGATATTGTACATTCTCTTTTTGGTATTGAGTCTTTGAAATCTGATGTGTATTTTATACTTTTAGCCCTTTTCAATTCAACTAGCCACATTTTAAGAGCTCTGTGTAACTGGTACGTATTGTATTAGAGCAGTTCTAGAGGAGCATGGTCTCCTCTCCCCTCGCCCCTGCAAGACCAGTGCTTTCTTGCCCGTCGCCAGTGTTTTTTTTGTTTTTAATTTTGTATCCTTATCAGAAATACTTTTGAGGACTTAATATTTTCTTCCCACACTCCACTTGGGAAACAACAGTACACTGCTAGTTCTAAGAGATCAGAAACTGTCTTTTTCTCTCTATATAACTTCAAATTAAGATTAACCATTGTGATTGTTTTGGAACTTGACAGTGTTTGTTCCTCTAATCCTCTTTTTCACACATCTCAGGGGTATGTTTCCTTTTTGCAGTAGCTTAATACCTTGCTTGTTTTATTTTACTTCATTGTCTTAACAAGATTGTAAGCCAGTTATGGAAATAAAAGGCTAGGAAATAGGCTGGTGATTTAACCAACCTTCCTCTAAATTCTTCAATATTTTCTGACACATGGCAAGAAATTAGTTGAGTTGATACTGATCTTTTCTACTGACAAACTAATGTAACTTCCATTTTATGTTTAAAAAATTCTTTACCAATTCCTCTTACCTTTGGCATCAAAACATTTCTGTTCTCCCTCACTTTCTGTCTTTAAACGGGTGTCATGTGCACACAATAATATGTATATGGTGCATGCACAGACATACATAGAATTACTGTATCCTTCATTTTGATTAAACTAATCAAATCAACACTTACTTTGGCTTAAAATCAGTATAGTTCTTGCTATACTGGGTAAAAACCAGGAAATTTCTTTTAACCAAGTTAAAACCATTTGATTTTGTTACCACTTAAACCTAGTGTTCTATTGGCTCTTTAGTTAAATTATTTGCTTTTTAGTATCATCTGTGATGTGTTACCCTTCATTTTTGCCAGCGAGGGTTTTAATTGGTAGGAAAGCATTTCATTTTCTCCCTGTTTTTAATGTGACTGCCCTTAGGTTACTTTCCGCACCAGAATCTATCACTGCAACATCAACAGTCAGGGAGTCATCTGTCTGGACATCCTTAAAGACAACTGGAGTCCTGCTTTGACTATTTCAAAGGTTTTGCTGTCGATTTGTTCTCTTTTGACAGACTGCAACCCCGGTAAGCAGATCTTTATTACCACATACAATGAGGCTATAGAAACCAGTGCATTTTCTTGGGTAGCTTAAGTGTAGATTTGGAAAGTAAGTGCTATTGGTGGAAAGATCAGCATAAAACATTTTGCAAGGAAATTATCAATGCCGTTTCAATTAGAATAGACCAAAAGTTTCACAATAACTTTCTTCAGTTTGTTAATGGAATGCTACCCTATATTATCGTCTCCCTATCATTGACGGACTCTTTTCTGAAGCACGTACCTGTACAAACCACTTTGATAGTGGTGGAGCAGTGTCTCTGACTCCAGAGCCTCCTTTTTTTATGCTGCCACGTGCTTTAAAGCAACCACTTAGTAATAAAGAGCTGCTTGTTTTCTCTTCCTTTTTGGATTATAGTTAATTGTATTAGATGTAGTAATAGTGAAGGATATTAAAAAATTAACAGCTGATGAGATTGTTGGGCTAGATTGTGATTAGATATACTTAGAGGTAAAGTCGTTAGTGTATAATTTATAACATAAAGAAATGCATAACTGCTACGCGTGATCTTTAACATGGGTAGCTGAATTGAAAAAGTGATGTTTAAGCCAGGGATTTTGCATGTTATCTTACTGAGAGGTTACTTTTTAAGAGTCTCATGCTCTACCGACTGAGCTAGCCGGGCGCAGTGGTGAGGTTACTTCTTAAAAGACGTAAACTTACTTTTTCTAAACATTTGATTAATCACCAAAGGCTGTTACTGTTATCTTTGGCCCAGCATATACCCAAGATAGACAGACAGATATTGTAACATCATTTATTATAGCAAAAGATTGAAAACAACCATTAATAGAGGATGTACCTGTTAAAAAGAATGAGGCAGCTCTTTATGAACTGATAGGGAAAGCTCTCTAAGGTATATTAAGTAAAAAAGCAAGGCACTGAAAAAGATACAGATGTATAACAAGATATTCTACATGCTTGTATATGTGTATATCTCTGGATAGAAGTGCTGTAAACAGGTAACAATCATTTGCCGGGGGAAAAACTCCTGAGTAATGGAGGTTTATATCTCAGATTCAATTTTCAGTTCAGAATTCTATTTAAAACAAAATGGTAAGTTTTAAAATGGAGATAAAGATAGTTAGAGTCACATTATTGCATAGAGTGAAGGAGACATTTTATTCTGAATAGCATTGAATTATTAGATCTGAGTTTTTATTTAAAAATTAAAATTTTTAATAGTCATAAGAAGGCAGAAATAAATTATCTAGCACAATTTCATCATCATCATCATTATTATTGTTAATCCTCACCCCAGGATATTTTTTTCCATTGATTTTTAAGAGGGAGGAAGGGAGAGAGGGAGGGAGAGACACTGACATGTGAAAGACACATGAATTGGTTGCTTCCTGTGCACATGCCCGATCTGGGGCTAGGAATCGAACCTGCAACTCAGGTACATGCCTTTGACCTGGAATCAAGCCTGCAGCCCTTCTGTGTGTGGGCCGACGCTCTAATCACTGAGCAATACTGGCCAGGGCATCACACTTTTATTATTGAATAAAATGCCAAGAGTAAAAAACAGTTTTTGTGTATTAAAGGCATACGTCTTTTATAAAAATCATATTTATTGACTCAGCACTCATTTTTAGTTATAGGACCTTGAACTGAATTGAATATTAATATTAAGATGCTGCTAAAATCAGCATTTCAGTTTAATAGAATGTTAAAACTGTACCTTTCGAACATATAATATTTTTTATTATTCTTTTCACTTTCCAGCGGATCCTCTGGTTGGAAGCATAGCCACTCAGTATTTGACCAACAGAGCAGAACATGACAGGATAGCCAGACAGTGGACCAAGAGATATGCGACATAATTCACAAAATTTGTATGCAGTGTGAAGGAGCAGAAGGCATCTTCTCACTGTGCTGCAAATCTTTATAGCCTTTACAATACGGACTTCTGTGTATATGTTATACTGATTCTACTCTCTGCTTTTATCCTTTGGAGACTGGGAGACTCCCCAAAAAGGTAAATGCTATCAAGAGTAGAACTTTGTAGCTGTAGATTAGTTATGTTTAAAATGCCTACTTGCAAGTCTTGCTTCTTTGGGATATCAAAATGTATTTTGTGATGTACTAAGGATACTGGTCCTGAAGTCTACCAAATATTATAGTGCATTTTAGCCTAATTCATTATCTGTATGAAGTTATAAAAGTAGCTGTAGATGACTAGGAATTATGTCATTTGTATTAAACCCAGATCTATTTCTGAGTATGTGGTTAATGCTGTTGTGAAAAATGTTTTACCTTTTACCTTTGTCAGTTTGTAATGAGAGGATTTCCTTTTACCCTTTGTAGCTCAGAGAGCACCTGATGTATCATCTCAAACACAATAAACATGCTCCTGAAGGCATAGTTTCCTGTCGTAATATTTTAAGTCAGTCTTGTTAGAAGGTGTGTCTGAGATGATTGTTGATGAAATAAAATTGCGGATATGAAGAGGACTGCTAAAGACTAGTACAAATAAATGAATTATTAAATACAAAACATTGGAAATCTTAGTTTTTTTTCCTTTCAATCCTAATGAGAAAATATAATGAGCTTAATTAAATATGGAAAACTGAATTTTAAAGCCATTGGTCTCAAAAACATAAAGCTCTACTTTGCTAATACGATATTTGAGATAGAAATAATATGAAATGCTGGCTCACTCAGCAATCTGATATTGTTTTATGGAACATTTTGTTTCCAAATTGGTGATTTCTGTCCACCATTGGGCAGTATTGTTAAATAACTACAATCTGGTCACTGTTCTATGTCTTGGTGCTTTTTTTTTTTTTCTTTTTTAATAGTTTGCTTCTAATCTTGGTCTTGAATTTTTATGGTGTGTGATGTGTATTACCATTTTCATTGTGGCACTGGTCCAGTAGATGTAGCCAGAGGCAGAATTGAACACAGACCCTTTCTGCCTAAAGGTCAATGAGAACTCTGGATTAGTCTACAGATGTGGCTTCATTTCTCAATTGAAAAATATCAAATTTTAAGGGTTTCATGGGTTATATAAATTTCTTTTTTCTGGTTATAATTAGTGACTGTGAGATTTTTTTAAAGGAGTTAGAATTGCTTTGCGATTTTCAGGTATGGTAAACTGTAAATGTGCTGCTTTTCCCCTATGGCTGGGATAATCATTGAGGTAGCTCTCCGGTTATATAACCAAGGTTGTGAAATATGGCACAGATGTCATCTCCAGTCCTAAATATGGAAATAGAACACCATCTTAAAATTTAGAGTGGCGTTATTAGCATAAAATGCATTGCTTCAGATAATAAAGTAAAACAATTATAGTTTCATATCCCCTCACTAAGAATAATGGTCTCCCGTTGACTTGGGTATCAATAGAAGTCTTAAATCAGGGTAAAAATAAAATTACTTATATGTCTACTTTTCACTTAACCTCCTTCCCCTTAAAATCTCCCCATATTACAGAGGAGCGCCAAGCAAAAAGGTAGTGTTTTGAAGAACTCAAGCTAGGCCTGTGGAAACCTCTGGCTTTGACTCTTGTAAGTGGTGACCAGTTATCTGTAACTGAGTTCAAGTCAATGTGATGAGGGTGGGGGTCTTTCCTGTAAGCTGCTAGGCTTTCCATGTAGGTCAGTAGAAAGTATTTTTCCTCACTTTCAATATTTTGTACATTCTACACCCTGGAGTAATAAACTTCTCTCTTGTGCTAAAGCAGCTTTCATCATACCGAATGTTAGGATGTTTGGGGATGCCATCATTGGCTTCCTTCATTTGCTATCAGCCTAATGACTACTACCAACGTGCTTACTTTGTGGGCTTTGTCCTCTACTCACCTGCGACAGAGTGGAGGGAATTGATTTCTTGAAAGTGTGTGTGGCTCTTGCACAAACTACCTTTGTAGCCTTGAATAAGATACCTGAACTTCTTCGAATTTCAGCTTATTCATATACGAAACAAAATAGTTGAATTTCATTATTTCCATATTCTCTGTTAGCCCTCAAACTCCTCAGGTAATTTTAACCTTAAAAATGTGTTCTGCTTGTTCTGCTTTCTCTTTCAGGGAACAGGGTACAGTTCCAAATGGACTGACATGAAAACCAATCATCATTTGGTTTTCTACTAGGTTCCCTTAAAATTCTGAAATTTTTTTTCATCTTCTGTATTTTCGAAAACTATAGATCTGCTTCCCAGTTACAAAGGTATTCATCCATGTATACTATATAAATAAGGGCTCTTTTTCCTTGAAACTTTGCTTTATATATAAATGGTAATATTTCAAAACTCAGACTTTTTCTCATCTGTTAAGAGCAAATTTTACAAGTTAAAGTCCAACTTTGTAAATATTCAAGAATGGTCACAGCACCATGCACCCCTTGAGCCTGGAGTGTTCTATTTGTGACCATTTGTGATCATGTGCCCTCAGAGGAGTTGTGTGGTACACCACTACATGCCAGGAACCACTTAGTTTTGGAAGGGCCCTAGCTCATTTAATGTCCCCTAAAGAGCTTTAGGAGAGGAGACACAATCCTCATTTGACAGCGAAACTGTTGCATGAATAGATTAAATAACTTGTCCCATGTTACAGAGCCAATGTGATGTGCAGGTACAGCCAGCCCCCATTCTTTACAACTAGGCTAAGAGTTTTTGTTATAACATCATCGTTAATATTGAATATGTATATCTGTTATAGCAGATATACATAGATTAATTGCTAACTTCTGAAAATTATTCAGTAAGATAAGGTACAGTTTTGTATTTTAGTAAATCTTTATTTTAATAGTCTATTTTAAAAGTCTCAAATGGAACCTTCCAAAATAAGACCTTATTGATAGTTTCCAATAAATACAAGCTATGTTTATTTAGCTTCTGCCTTCAACATTTGTCATAGAAATACTTTTAACATCACTGATTTCCTTTTTTTTAATTTTGAAAAAGAGAAATGATGTTATTTTAAATGTATTCAACTGTATATCACATAATATCAGGAAATTGAGCATTTGTTGACTACTTTTTTCAAAATAACAAGATGTGTTAGTTACATAGACATTGCTTTTCCCCCCCCTAGGAAATCTTAAGTATCACAGGGATAAAACTGTGAGTTGACCCATGTATATGCTACTCTTTCTAATAACTTTGAGGTGTTGTGTACTTGAAGTCAGTCCACTGACTTGTCCAAGGGTATATATTTTTTTTGTTGTTGTTAATCCTCACTGGAGGATATTTTTTCCGTTGATTTTTAGAGAGTATGGAAGGGAGGGAGAGAGAAACATCAATGTGAGAGAGACACATCGATTGGTTGCCTCCCGCACATGCTCCTGCTGGGGCTGGGGATTGAACCTGCATCACAGGTACATGCCTTTGACCAGGAATTGAACTTGGGACGGTTTGATGCATGAGCCGATGCTTTACCCCCTGAGCCGCACTGGCCAGGGCCAAGTGTATATCCTGATAACAGTATAAGAATGACTATATTGTAAAATTTAAGTCAGTTTCAGTCACATGACTTCAGAGGTTAACCTGCATTATAATCATGTTAATGTAGTACATTAACACATTTTCAGTTGACCTTTTTATTGTGTTCTTTGGAAATAATTATGGCATAATATGAAACTGATTACTTTTATAAAACTATTGCAAATTATTTTAAAAGGCTGAGCTGATTCTACAGTATTATCTACTTATATTTTCATTAGTGTTCCTTATTTTAGATAAATAGAATATATAAACGAATCCATTTGTTTCATGTCTAAATAAAGTTTTTTCAAGTAATACCCAAATAAAAAATAATTCATAATTACATTTTAGTAGATAGGCATTTGAAACATCAATTTTTTGTAACTTGTTTGTCAGCTTTTGGGCTGGTGAAGTTCTTCAATGATTTAAATGTATACTAGAATGTTTACTAGAACGTTTCTACAGTGGACTGATAGTCCTTTCAAAATGGTTATAAAGTGAACTTTTGGAACTGGTTTATAAACTGCATTGCCAAGAGTGTTAGGTTGTGTTCAGGCCTTGTCAGACAGAACCAACCTTGTTAATTAGAAATGAGGAGTATCCTCTACAGCCAGGGCTGAGGAACACCCTAAAGTCATTTGGTCTGGCCCTGACAAGGCAACTGCAGGTGGGGCTCGAAACTCAATAAAACTAGGAGCTTCTCTCATAGCTAATTTTTAAGTTAATAATTTTGGGTGGCCTGCAAATGATTTATAAATATCCAAGTGGCCCTTGGCAGAAAAAAGGTTCCCACCCCTACCTGCGGTAGATGCATAGTATCACACCTAGGCTCACTTTCCTCTTTTTCTACGTGATTGTTAAATTCATAAGCACTTGTCTGAAGGGATATCCTGGATTTCTAACAGTATCTTTCTTGTTTTAGTTTGCCCTCAACTTCTTGGGGTTCTAGTAGCTCATGTGACTAGAAGCCCAAGATGATATTTAAATGATGATATTCTATCAGTAAGACCAAACATAAGAAGCTAAGTTTGAACATTTAAAAAAAAAAAAAAAGTAACAGATTACTCAGATTCAGGTACAAGGACAGTGTAAACATTTTTTAGTAGTACCGCCATTATTTAATTATATGAGAAAGAGTGATTTGACTGCTATTAAGCAGCAGAGCTCTGGGCACTAGCCCTGGGTGTGTTTAAACCTTCCCCATTTCTGTTGAAATTCAGTGAGACTAAAGTCCCATTTATGCAGATCTACACAACACAGAACATTAAAAGCTTTTTCCCCCAAATCCTTCAACCCCTAAAGTTGATATCTCAAGTCCTACTCCTTTGATGAAACCTTTCCATTTTACTATCCTGTGCCTTTAGTCTGTCAGTTGGTCTGTTTTTCTCAGAAATAATAAGAAATTCAAGCATGTACGTATTTCTAAGTATGAACTACAAGCCAGGTTTCCTCCTGTGCAGGAATTCTTTTTCCTTTATCTGTTTTTTTTCCCCCCTCTTGGAGAGGCTGTGTGATTACGCTATTGTAACCCCTTAACTGACCTCCATTGTGAGTGCATCCTACAAATTTAAGTGTTTGCTAATTGAAGGTCCTTTCAGGCACTACAATATGTACAGAGAACAAACACATTGTCACATCCTTAATTTATAATTTCTTGTCCAGATTCTTACCTCTTCTTAGCAGACAGCACATCTTTGCTAATGTGTATCCATTTTCTGTTGAATGAGAATTGAACAGATGTCCCTGCTGATTTCACTATGAAAATATTAGTTTAATGATTTCCTAAGTTTTACCCAATCTACATGATATTAAGCATACTTAATACTATTGGATGCTTTTAAAATAATTACTTTCTGTCCTTCAAACTACTCTTAGTATCCACTGTCTCTGGCATGCATTTTGGCATTTTATTAATTTAATTTAATACCTTATACATATTTCTGGACAGTGAGCTTTTGGAAGATAATCTCTATCTTTCCTTGTCTCTCTCAGCGCAGTGTCTAACGTGATACATGGCTGCTGAATGAATGAACATTATGTCATGGGCGTAAGTCTGCATCAGGTATTCAGAG